AGTCCAACTGAGGCTCCTGTTGAGCAAACGAAAAGATAAGCGGACGATTCCTTTTACTGGTATAGCTAAACGAGGGACGAGAAATGAGCTACCGTTCGCTGCGCCGAATAATGCACAGCAATTTTTTTCTTCGTTGATTTTTTTCGAAAAATGCAGTGGGTACTGAATGTTCAATCGGCGAGCGTTTCCAGGAGCGCATTTCCAATTAGGGGATTGAAACTATGAAGGTAATATTACCAAAACTTGCAACGTGAATGCTCCTTTGTCCGAGCTGCTTTGCACTTTTCTGCAGAAACTTTACGACCTCCAATAAATGAACACCATCCGGGTGCTCTCTTTTTTTGCTTCTGGCATGCACCTCAAATCGGTTTATGTGCTTTTCCATGGCGGTCTGTAGTGTTCGAAAAGTTTAGAGAGGGAGTTTTCAGAGCAGAGGTTCTGAGATTTCATCTGTTTGTTGTTTCGATGCTGTGTATTCAAAGAACTGTGGCAGGAAGCGTGAAGATTGGCCCAATTAGGTCTTCGCAGGGAGAGCGCTGAAATGTGAACGCGCGCCAGTTGCTTGGACTTACCCTTCCTTTCAATTTTCCCTGGTGTCGTACTGGTTCCGCTTGCAGAAGGGCTTAGGGGTTCATCCTGAAGTTCATGCTGCACGCTTGAACTTTATTGCGTGTTCACAAGGAATTGGCTGGGGAACTCTCGAAGGAATTTCCCAGTCGATTACGAGTGAACACGCAAAAAATTCGAGCCTTCAGCGGATCAGCGATTCATCTTCCCAATACTGGGCTAGAACTGGGATCGAAACGCATGCATGTGGTGTATGCCGATGTATGCTGCTGCACGCCACTCTGCTCCCATGCCCACATAACCATTGGAATGTAGTGTTTAAAATGGGATTGAGGTTTTTCTGGTACATAACTCTTACGTAATAACCCCTTTTCGGATTTCATTGCCCAGATGTAAATTCCAAGGGAATCGCTCACGCAGGTTAGGCCTCGACTTTCTATTTAAATAGAACGGGACCAGAGGCTTGAACAGAATCTTCAAAAGGCTTAGAATCTTATTCATGGCATCAATTCAGACTTTCTTCACGTCGACGTCTTCTGTTTGGCTAAGAAGTCCTTGAGCTTAATATTGAATGTCCTGACTTGTGCCCTGTAATAGAGTTAGTAGATCAACTGGGGACTATTTTCGTTCACTTGTTTCCGTGGGAGATCGAATCGTCACGCTCTCCGCTGAGGCTAATCAATCCTACGGTAGGAAGCCTCTAAAAAAGTGTTATCGTTGAAAAAGAATGGAGATCTCGGCCAATTTCCTAGTTATTAATAACGAGTTCTGCGATAAGGCACATCCAGTCGAAAGGATTATGTTCCAATCGATTCCAATATGTAAGTTTTATGGGTAGAAAAATGTTCCTGCAGGGGATATCATATTCCGAGCAGAAGCATAGCTTCTTGGGGAGTAGCAGACAGAATGACTTAGAACTGTCGGCGCCTATTTGCTTGTAGCTGTGAATTGACTCTGATACTATGTAATTTCAGGGTGAAATGGTGGATAGGATCGAGTACAATGTGGAACATGCAAAGGAGTTTGTTGATCGGGCAGTAGCGGATACTAAAAAAGCCGTTCAGTATCAAAGTAAAGCACGACGGGTAAGTTTAGCTTTCTTTTAACTAGTGTTGAATTAAAACCATTTGTCCGAGCTGTCCGTAGTTTTCGTGATGTGACGGTGGTGGTGGTTGTGATCGTGGTTGTGATAGTTGTCGCCGTGGCACGTCCTTCTTTGACAGTACATCACTTCATTTGCATGGCTGTGGTTGTTCTGATCGCGAAATGGCTTCTCTTGAAGGGACTCTATTTGTGGATTAAAGGTAATTCTGGGGAGGTTTACGGGTTATGACAACTCTGACGATTCGCCTAGTTCAGATCTCACCATTTTGTCCTCGATTTTAGCCATTCCACGATGTCTGACATGAGATCGATCTCGTCGTTCCTCGTTGTCATCCACCTTGTAGTTTTCGTGCAGCCTGCGTCGTTCGGTCTCTCACTGGCTGCGTCTCTGCGTCTTGGCACTTCTTGATCATTTCGCCTTATACGCTCGAGCAAAGACATCCAAAGCATCCGAATGTGGGCATCGAGAAGACAACTACGAGTTGTTGTCGCTGGGATTGTTGTTGTTGTTAGAGGCTGCTGTATCAGCAAATTCGAATCTCCCAGGTTGCTCAAACGAGGTTATGGTCGGGGAAAGGATCTGAATCAGGCTCGCATGTAGCTGTGGACCTCCGGGCATGTCTTATGCGTCAGGAAAGTCAGGGTACAGTCGGAAAACTCAGTACGCTCGATTTGATTAAGAATGAAAGTTTAGAAGGGGATTGGAAATTTCCGTCATATTTCCGTTACATTAAGTTTTTGTTGATTCGTATTACAAGGTTTTCCACCTGGTTACCCCGATACCCTTCGAACAGGACGCGACCCGTGCAGCTGGAGGGAGAACGGGGTAAGCAGGTGGCGTTCTAGGTCATACAAGATTGGAGTAGTTCTTTTTTACGGAGGTAATTTCTCAGTATTAGATAAAATAGTTCGGCGAAGCACCTCACATTTACTGTTGGGATCTGAGCTTGAATGCTGTGAGTTTTCAAAAGCACATTGTGGGATACGTAGACTTCACTAGTATCGCCTCCATTTGCGAAATGGTAGTAGAAAAACATACACATATGTTGCTGTGGAAACGGCAAAATTATTATTGTAATATCTTTAAAATAGGTTCAGACGGCACAT